AACTTAGCAAATACTCTTAAGCTGAGAGGGTTTGGTGAGGTTAAAATTTATCTTGTGACATTTGACTCCAGCAGTTCAGAGCCTTGAACACCTCAGTACATGGCCTTGACCTTAGTTTTTTACTTCTGTATTCTGCTGGGCGTTGTGGCTCACGTCTGTAATCCCAGCACTTTGGGAAGCCAAAGCAGGCGGATCGATTGAGCCCAAGAGTTTGAGAGTAGCGTAGGCAACATAACGAGATCCTGTTTCCACTAATTATTAAAAAAAAAAAAAAAAAAAAAAAAAATTAGCCAGGTGTGGTGGTGCACACCTGTGATCCCAGCTACTCAGGAGATTGACAGAGGATCGCTTGAGCCCAGGAAGTCGAGGCCGCAGTGAGCCATGATGGTGCCACTGCACTCCAGCCTGGGTAACAGAGGGAGAGTCTGTCTCTAATAATGATAATCAATAATAATACTGTACGGTGTGCCCATTCCTCAGGAGGCACTGTAGTAGAAGGATAAGCTGTGGAGGTAACTGAGGATAAACAGATAACCATTTAGCTAAAAAGGTTCTTAACCTTTGCTGTATGTTGTTATTCCTAGGTACAGCACAGGCAAAATAATTTTGAAAGCTCCCAGGTAATCCTAATGCACAGCTAGTGCTGAGAACCACTGCTTTAACCCCTGAGGCGGATAGGTAGGGCCTAGGGTGGCCGGAAGCGCTAGGCCGGGCACCGCCAGTAGGGAGCAGTCTCAACCCTTTATCCCTATGAGTTGCTCAAATTGTAACATTTTCTGTGGGTTCCATGCTGTAAAAACAGGAAGCACTGCCCTACAGTAACAAACATGCTGGACAGCTCTTGTGTCAGATCATTCATTGGAAGAGAGGGGAATCAAATCACAAAAGGCCAACTGGAAAACACACACTCATCTAGGGATGAGATCAGGAAAGCCTGGGCAAGGCTGGTGACAGGGAATGTAGGAGAGGAGTTATAGTCACAGGAAGAATGTTGGGTGATAGTGGAAAACTAGATGGAAATTTCTGGCAGCCTGTGGTACTTTCAATTGGCACAAGGACTGATTTCGGTAACATGTCCCCGTTGACACCCAGAGGAGAGTTGCGGGAATTGCTTTGGTCTTCCTAGGGCCCTCAAGACCATGAATGGCTGGAGTCTGGACCAGTCTTAGGCACTAGCAAATTGAACAGTAGCTCATTCACAGTAGTATAAAAGCTGCTGCTTTATTGAGGCCAGAGGCCCTTTCTTATACGGGGCAGCAGCTGCGCTCCTGGGAATGAT